ATTTTCTGAATTAATTGCCTGATTAAATGCTTATATTTTGGGGTGGAATGGTGTTTGTTAGAGATTGTAGAAAAGGTCACATATGTTTCCGAAGGGAGTTCAGGACGAACCTATCATGCCGTTTAATAAACCCCAGGCCTTTGAGAAGCATAGCGCTCAATTCCTGGACTGTGTTTACTTCTCCGATATTTCAGACATCAATAACATTCTTACAGGGGACATGATAAAAAGCAACAATATTGATGGATTCTCTCTTACTGTAAAATGACTACTCCCAGAGTGACTGGAACAGTATAAATAATGCATGCTCTCTGTCTCTCTTTCTTTTTCTCTCTCTTTAATATTAGTTGTGACTAAAAGTCACATACAGAAGATCAATAATGACTCTGAGTTGGATTGCGTTTGCTCTCATCTGAGATGCGATTGGCACCTTTGATCAGATGACCTTAGTGGACCAAAAAACAATTATCTCAGCTGAATCTGTCTCTCGGTGCATGAAATGGCTGCTTGATATTGGCTCCGAGAAGGAATGAGCCACATGAAACTAGTGGATGTTTCTTTAAAAAAGCCAAAAAAAGCCAAAAAAGGTTTTTAAAGATGCCCATAAAAATCCAGTTGCTTATAGTAAAGTATAAAGTGAAAACAACAGTAAAAGCAAGCACCACTATTAACATTTTCAATCATCCATTTCTTATGTAAGTTTATTCTATACATACTGTTGCACTTCAGTGCCCCACCATCTGTTTGTTATATTTGTAAATAAATAAATTTGTATTCATTAATATGGATTGGATGAATCTCACTCCTCACCTGCTGCATTGTCTCAAAGGCTGCAGCTCGTCCCACAGGCTTTCCTCTGATAAGATCTGATCTGTTATCTGAAATATTATTTACTTGCTCGAGTGAACCTAACAAACACAAACAAAATCCATCATTATTTCTGATGGTGTTTCCATGTTTTGAGGTACCATTCATGTCTAGCACAAACAGCATAGACTGAGGCATCAGAGGTGATATGAAATTATGATCTAAATAAAGAGTGCAATAAACAAGCCATTTCAATATTTATTGCATGAAAGATGACAAATTATGACTGTTAGTTGTGGCGTAATTTCCATAAATGTTAGTATACTTGGTTCCCAAGGAGACAAGTGTGAGTAAAGAGCATGCTTGAGATGAAATATGAAACGTATGATTGGAAGACAATGGAAAATTAAGAGACGTATCACAGTATTGTCAAATTATATAATTGTTTAATTAAATGAAATTAGCTCCCAAAATGTTTAATATACTTTTTTTTTATTTTTACATTTATTAAATAAAATATTTATTTTTTACATTTTAGAAATTATGTAATGATGTATTTATTTAAATATTTATTTATTATTTAATGGCAAATATTTAAAGTGAATGAAAACAGATATGGTTCCGAGGACAGTCTAGCCAAGAGCAGAATAAAACATTGAGCTGACAGGAATCTTAATGAAGACTAACTCAAGTCATCTAGTGCCCTTGATCAAGGTGACTTCAAGCGTAGCCCCTCTCAGGCTCTCATCACAGTCCTCAGAGGTTTATAAGCCTTACTCAATATAAGTCTTGTGTTAATGAATGTCAGTTCCTCTCTGAACATGTTCAGTCATTCACGTGCTGTGTGATGTTTGTTGCAGCAGATCTGAACGCTGCCAGTTTCAGGCTATATTTATGGCTGACGCACTTGTTTGGACAGATGTGTTGTTTGCTTCTGTCTGAGGACACTATATTAGACTAAAAGGTGCTTGTGCTTTATTAGCCTTATTAGAATTGATCCTGTGAGGATGGGAGACTGGAGGACAGAGGGGTGAGCAGAGAGACACAGACTCTTGCTGCTTTTCACTAAAAGACACTAAAAGCATCTGAATCATCATAACATTGCATTGTGCTTACCATTTACATGTATCTTCATTTCCAACAACCATGACTGATGCTTATGTTGTTTTTAAATAATTAAAATTATTTGCATACATCAATGATTTTATATTAAAATGTGAACCTGGACCACAAATGGTCATTGATGTATGGTTTGTTGATAGGACAATATTTGGCCGAGATACATCGGGTGTAGAATCTAAGGGTGCAAAAAAAACAAAAAATCAAAATATTGAGAAAATCGCCTTTAAAGTTGTCCAAATGAAGTTCTTAGCAATGCTTATTACTAATAAAAAATGAAGTTTTGATATGTTTACAGTAGGCAATTTACAAATTATCTTCATGGAACATGATCTTTACTTAATATCCTAATGATTTTTAGCATAAAAGAAAAATCAATAATTTTGACCCATACAATGTAATGTTGGGTATTGCTATAAATGACTCGTTTTATTGTCCAGGGTCACAAATATGTTGGCTAAATTACTGTAGCTAACTACACCAGTATGACAAGAAATATAGGGTGTGAAATAAACAAAACGTGATCCAAACAAAACATGTAATTAGCTACTAATGTATCGTAATATTGCTGATTTAAAACAGTAAATACAATAAAAATTAATTTTTACCATAATATTCTAAATAAACATTTTATAAGTTCATTGGAAGACACTGTTGTAGAACATTAGTAGTTAGCAATATTACCGATTTTTATTCATTTGCATTGTGCCAAATCTCATTTTACATTTTCATTTTTCATTTTAATGAAACAGGATTATAAATATTTTTTAGTCTGTAGTTTCAACTTCAATCATTTTCACTGTTCTTTTGTTTACAACATGTAATTAGAACATCACAGATCTGTTTCTGTAGTCCTGGACCCCACTGCTGCTCTGCAGGGGGAAACTAGAGCAGGACATTATCAAATCATTGAATTGTGTCACATGGTGATGGATTGTTCCAGCAGGTTTACCGTCACACAATATTTAACAGATGGACGGACTGCTTGACGCGTTAGTGTGTCTTGGATGTGTTTGGCAGAGACCAAACAGAGCAGACGTATGCCAAATTTATTTAAGTCAGTCTCTCAGATTCACATAAGCGCCGAGGAACGTGCTTGTATTTTCATTTCATTCACAGGTCATTTTTGAATATAATATAATAAATATAATATAATACATTATAATATAATATGCTTTGAAATAATTTCAATAATTATTGAAATGATTAATAGATAGATGGGTACATAGATAGATGCTATTAATAAGAGTTTATTTTTATTGATTGATTGAGCTTTGTGATTGAAGTGCTTCTGTGAATGAAAGCTGGATGTTCTGCTAGAGTTTAAATGACTGCTGTTCTCTTATGTATTGAACTGTTGAGCTGCTAATAGAGAGCAAAGAAAAAGTAATTAAATTCCGTGAACTTCAGGTTCATTCTGGCCATTTAATATCCTTTTCATATTGAAATATTTCATATTTCACATTTAGTTTTTCTCAATATGTGACTCGGATCCAGAATAGGGTTGCAAAGGGGTGGATAACTTCCAGTAAATTTCCGGAAACTTTCCAAAAATCCCTGGAATATTCAAAAAAAAAAAATCCTGGAAAGTTACCAAAATTTCAGGAATATTTCCGAAATTTACTGGAAAATTTCCACCTTTTTGTAACCCTCATCCAGAAGCTAAAAGAAGATGTTCCATTGGTTCATCAGTCACATTTTGTTTTTCTCAATATATGACTCGGATCCAGAATAGGGTTGCAAAGGGGTGGAAAACTTCCAGTAAATTTCCGGAAACTTTCCAAAAATCCCTGGAATATTCAAAAAAAAAAATCCTGGAAAGTTACCAAAATTTCAGGAATATTTCCGAAATTTACTGGAAAATTTCCACCTTTTTGTAACCCTCATCCAGAAGCTAAAAGAAGATGTTCCATTGGTTCATCAGTGCCATTTGTTAAAATTGCTTTCTCATCGGTTTTTAAAATGGGTTGCACATTTAATAATTCTGTTTGTGATTTTCAGTTTTCAAAAACTGTTACAAATTTACAGCTTTTCATAAAGATTTTTGAATAATTATGGCAATAATTATTCTATTTAATGGATTAATACATTTGTATGTAGCTAAATCAAGATGGCAAGTTTGCAACATTGAGATCAAAGAGAATCATCTGGTATGTTTAAACCATTCAAGCTGGCGGTTATTAAGCCTCTTATTAAGAAACCACAACTAGATCCTAGTGAAACAAAGATAAACAGTTTAAAACAGCTGAGATTGACTGAGCTGACCATGCCGGTCCTCTGCCAACAGATTTTTAGGCTTCCCTTTAAGCGTATAGCTAGTGGTCACAGCCTGTGATGTGAAAAAACCTGTCATGCACTGAGTAATTCTGCAGATGCAGCATTTTTGTTTCTGCCTGCAGTGACATTAAGCACTAATTATAATTTTAGAAGCACTCAAATCTAAAGGACTAATGTACCAACTAATTATGTAAAAATTTAGAAACATCACAGCATGCTACCATCCTTTAGTAGCCTGCTAAATGAAACATTGGAGTCTTCCTAATTGCCACTATGGAGAAAGAAGAAAATAGTACATCAGCAGATACATTTATCCAGTCAAACCCCTGCTGAAAATGGTATTTTCTCTTTTTATGACTGGTTTTGTGTACAAATGAATGTCCAGCCCTTATGTATAGCTCTCAGGGAAAGCCAGGGTTGCTCTTCCTTGGTTGTCTTATCTGTCTATCTGAGGTTCACTAATTAAGATCATGCCCATGCTGTAAGCCTTCAGATTTATGCTTTTGATTCATTGTAGTAATAAAATAACCGAAGGACACAAACTGTTCATCACACAAGAGCAAGATGTCTCATCTTTGTTCATGAGGGAACATTTTTCCCTGATGCATCTCTCTGGAATGAATGCATCTTTGTCCACTGAAGACACTTTGACCCTGAGATTCCACATCAGAAACACAGTTTCAAATAAATAAACTTTAGATTTTAAGTATAAAGGCACCTGAAATATCTTAGGATAGTGTAATCTACTTAAGGATGATATTAAAATGGACTGAAAATGATACTATGAGAATTGATCGGTTTAATGATAAAACATATGAACTAGACAAAGTCTCCACAATGCTATCAAACTGGTGACAGCACAACCACAAACATAAAGCACAAATAAAACAACAGACAGACAGCAGTTGTGTTTTTACTCAGGCACTTTGTGTTTCTGTGTCCTCCCTCCAGCAGAGGGCAGCATCTGCGTTTACGAATCCTCACCTGGGCATGTACTTGTGTGGTAGGCCGTCAAGGTTTCTGTCTCTGAGAGCACTGTCTACTGTCCGGATGTATTCATCTATACGAGCTCTCATTTCGGGAGTGAAGGGGTCAAAGGTCAGGCTACGTGATCCAGAGCGTTTAAAATGGCCGTCTCTGTTGCTCTTTGTGCACAGAAGTCTTTCCTCAGGAATGCTGGTGTTCAGGAAAGCGGTGATGGTCTTTAACTGAGGGGCTAGATCTTCTTGTAGATTTTCAAAGTGTACCACCAGCAGGCGGTGGGCAAACCGCAACCAGGCCAGAGCGTGAGACACCCACCAGGATGAATAGCTGTCCACAAACTCTGACCACTCTATGAAGAACAAAAAAAAGCATCACTGTTAAAACTAAACTAGCATCTCCCACAAGCTTAAACCTAGGACTGCATTGCTTGGGGGAAAAAAATCAAATTTGGATTTTTCTGATTGGAAAAAAATGCAATTGCGATTTAAAAAAAATAAAATTACACAATCTTGGCTGCACAATTTTGTGATTATATATTAATATGGCTATATAATAATAATAATGCATAAAAACATAAACATTAATAAACAGAAACTAGTTTACATCATTTAGGATTGCAAAAGTTTTAAGAGCTGAATATTATTCTTCAAGAACCAGTGAATATTAATTCCATTCTTTTAAATCAATGAACTTACATTATCTTTTAGTCGTTTGAAATTTACAGAATAATATACATATATATTTACAGAATATATTAATATACAGTGTATTAAAATATACAAATATTTGGTATTTTAACATATAATAACATTTAATATTTACTAAAATTTAACAACATTGAATTAATAAATATATGCAAAAGCAACAATAACATATTACATCTATGCCTACGGAGTTTTAGGACCATTTCCAGGTCTAGAAACCACACTTTAACACAAATTAGGTTTCCTCATTTATCCCACTTTTACAAGACAGTCGGGAATCTTGTTTTTTCAAAGACAAAAACAGTTGTTGAGGGGCAGAAATACGTTTTTTTTATTTGTTTTAGCTTTTTTTTATCTTATCATTATAGCTCATCATCTTATATAAGTCATCTTGCAGCCTAGATGTTTGCTGAAGTCCCCTGGTTAAGACCCATTGCTCTAAACTCTTTGAATATACTGTAAGGCTGAAACTAATGGCGTTTCATCATTAGCACCTTTGCTCCTCCAGTGAACATCTGACGCGTAGCCCAGGTGTCCGGCACACTTGCGGTTGAACTCTGCCATTAGAGAACGATAGGGGTTTCGCATCAGCAGGATGGCCGAGTCGAACATTTCGATCTCACGCTGGCCGCTTTCATGAGTCTTGACGCAGATGACTCTCCCGCTCTGCCAGTAATCCTTCTCTCCTTTAAAACCTGCAGAGATGTGAGAGAACCACTATTCCTGAGGAGAAAAATTTGAGCCGAGTCTCTATTTGCTTTCCAATCAAGGACTAACAAATGAGATGTTTAAGAGATGTCAGTTTTGATCTTCTTTCTTTTGGGCAAGACCTAAAAGTGTTTGTGTTTCTGTTGAGTTCATTTTCTCACTCTTGCAGACTCATAATAAATCTCACAGCTGAAAGTGATGAGTGTTTAAGTCTTATTAGTGGACTTTCACCTTTGTTGTACAGAGATCCATCAAAGTAATAGCTGCCGGTGTAGAATCCAGTGGCGAGTTCAATCAGGTGACGTAACCAGGTGTTTCCTGCCCCTGGAAAGCTGGACAGGGCTACAAGAGTGCTGGACTTCTGGGGCAGAAATCTCCTTTCTTTGCACGTTGTATCTGAAAGAACAGATCTTTGCGGTTGCAGCATTAGTTCTTAAAGAGCCGTAAAGTTTGAGTTACATGCTGTAGGTTACCTAGCACAGGAGTACTGTACACCCAGTAGTAGTCAAGGTCATAAGGAGAGGTGTGGTTTGTTTGGTTGCTCCTCTCACACATGTATTCCTGTTCACTCATCTGGATTGTGAAGAGAAATGGGACATGGCTGCAGAAACAGTCCTGCCCTCTCAAAAGGGCCAATGGCAGGTCCTGATAAGGTCACACACAATTTAAAAAAAGTGAAGGAATGGAAATAAAAGATATCACCTGTAATGAGTAGTAATGGTCAGCCAAATTATGTCCTTCTAGTCTAAACAAATACAGTGTGAATTAAGCAGAGATTTAAGAATTAGTGTTAACATTAGTTTTATTATTATTAATAATAATAACTATGCACCTTTGAGGCTTGGCCCCAAAATGATGATTTTTATTACTGTTAGTAACGAAACAAAAATAATAATGTATTTATTTTAATAACTTTTTTTTTTATTAATTGTATAATTAGTGATAATAATAATAATATACAGCATTTTATAAATATTTTTATTTTATTATATTTTTATTGAATAGTAGAACTAGTAGTACAAGTATTATTCATAATGCACATTACTTTTCTAGTCTAATGATCACCATAAAGAAAACACATTTGTATGGATGGATACAAGCATTTGTGAATTGAACCTGATCTGTACAGGTCTCGATACACTGCTGAGGTGTGTGTGTCTGGCCAGAGGTCTGGATCAGGAAGTCAGCGGTAGAGTTCTGTGGCTTCTTGTAACAGCCGTGGTAGTGCACAGTTCTGTCTGAGAAACATTGAACAGAAGTCGTCTTCCTTATCTCGTCAGAAATACTGTACTTCTGTGTTTAAGAATAAGGTGGATAAATGCATCAGAAAGTACCTGTTGGCATTTCCTAAACGAAGCAGCACATAATAATATTTTGAGCAGTGAATAAATTTTTTTCTGACTTTGAATATTCCAAGTTGATTGTTTTAAAATGACATTTCTGTATTTGAAATGGCTTTAGTATTAAAACCTGTTGAAAACATATTATATTTCACCCCAACCCCAAATTATATTTTGCATGAAGAAAATGAAACCTGTTTTTATTACCATTAGGATTTTTTTTTTAAATGTAGCATTGTCATGCTACAACAAAACACATTTCCAACAAATTCTCATTGCAAACAATTCATATTTATTTATTGAATAAGAATGTGTTGGAAATGTTATATTGCCCTTAATTAATCATGATTTTAAAAAAAATTGTATTATAATGGTGTCAAAATCCTTTATGAAAATTTTTATTTTATTATTTTTTCTTCTCTTTCTGTATTTTTCCTCCCACTCAAACACTTCAAGCTCTCAAAATGCCTCTTTGTACAGCATTACACCGTTTGATTAATGGTGATTTAATCACAGGCTTTCAAAATCATTTCTAAGCTCTTGGCCACCATTTTTTTTATAATGGTGTCAAAATCCTTTATGAAAAATTTTATTTTATTATTTTTTCTTCTCTTTCTGTATTTTTCCTCCCACTCAAACACTTCAAGCTCTCAAAATGCCTCTTTGTACAGCATTACACCGTTTGATTAATGGTGATTTAATCACAGGCTTTCAAAATCATTTCTAAGCTCTTGGCCACCATTTTTTTTAAACCATATGTGGATTCTGTTCTCAGACTAACAGAGAATACATTGTTTTTATTTGGACATTGGTTATTTGCTATGGAGATCTGTAATACCTCAGAGAGGGAGACTATGGCTCACTGATGTTGGGCTTTTGGGTTCCAGAGTTCCTTTGGCTCAGAGATCTGGCACTATCTGCGCTGCTGCTGCGCAGGACAGAGGCTTTGTTTTTGTGGAGACAGGAGAGGAGCACATTCATCTGCAAAGATACACATTGTCAGAGACACACACACACACACTCAGAAAGAGCCCCTAAAAAGAAAGAGAGAGACATAAGCACACCTGTATACAGCTCATTGAGATGAATTTTCTTGACACTCCATCATACCTCAGAACAAAAAGAAGATAAACTTATGCATTCTGTCCCTATTGTTATTCTTATGCATTTGTTCTCCTCTATTCTATATACATACAGTGAAACTGTAAAAAATCATTTTAAAATATTTGAGCATGTTAAGAAGCCTTTGCAATAATGTGACATCACAACCAGTACTGTGTGTAAGAATCTGTGTCCGCCACATAATTATATTTGCTCATCACTCTTATAGCCAAATTTTGTACATTCCATAAAATTGTCCTTGATTTTTTGAGATATTTAGAGTCATTTTGAGCAACAGTTATCTGTATGAGTGACTCATGTCCACTAGAGGCTTGTGTGCCTTGCACTCGTTTTGTTAATCTGTTTTTGAGGTTTGTCCCTCAGGAACACTGACTGCAGAACAGTGTGCGATGTTTTCAAGTAATTATATTGCACTTATGTTCAAGGTCAGGGACCAATCGACCAGTTGATTCCATTTGGTCCTGGCGGCTTGGCCCAATGGGGAAAAACAGATTAAAATCTCTTGATAACCGCACATTTAAGGGCTCCAGGCACAAACCGCAGATACAATCAGCTGCCCTGCACATCTCTCTGATGAGAGCCATATACACCCTAATTGTCTGTCTTTCTCTTTCTGTCTGACTTTCACATTCTCTTTTTTTGTGGCGGTTTTATTTTCTTAGGCTGTTTAAAAACAGCAGCTGATGTGACTTTCACAATCCGTCAAACAGAATTAGTGTTCAGGCATGCAAGAAATATGCAGACCATTTCCTGTGCACTTCTCATGGCTTAGACCTGGGTGAAATGATTAAACTCGATGAAAAAAAAATTTGAAATTGCTGAATTTTTCATGTTGACTCAGGCTTGCAAATGTGCTAATTTTACCCTTATTCATAGATGTGTAAACCTTATTCCAGATGTCATAATCTATGTGAATTAATTCATACACAATTCTCATTTACTAAATAATACAGAGAGTTCCTGTCCTGGATGCTGATTGGACAATAAAGCCTTCCAGTTGAACATAAATGCACAACAGAGTGCTTTAGTGCACTTTTCAGTGGCATTGGTTCTGGAAGTTTTCCCCATTAGTGTATTATTTTCCCATAAGGATTTTAAAGAAGTCTACATTAAAGCCTTATAAGCCATAACCAGTTATGAGGTGAATCACAACACTACAAATGTTTATTTGAAGCAAAAACAAAATCAGAAAAAAGACAAAGGTACAGTACAAGACAGCTTTAGAGAAAGAAGTACAATGAAGCATTGAATTACATTTAAAGACGACGGAGAAATATAAACCTATTAATTTAAAGTTGTGGATTTTATCTGTAAAAACAATATATTTTAAGTTTACAGCATCATGGGTAACATAGGTTTTCACCACAAATTCAGCTGTTAAACATGATTATATTAAAAATAGGTTGAAATCATGCAAACAGATGGCTTCAACAAAAGCATATTAAATGAATGAACAACCTCAGAACGCACAGTATGTCTGTCTTAAAAGGTTTATAAGTTACTGTTAAAAATCAATTTCCCAATAAATAGATGGAATAAAATGTCTGTAAACAAAGCTCCACTTTAGAACTGTTACATTTACCAAGCTTTACTGTAATTCATCCAAAGACCTGAAGTGACAATGTGAACACGGTGTTTTAATGATTTTCTGTTGCTTTAATTCACCCAGCGACCCTGAGAAAAGAGCTTTTGTTGGGCCAGAGCTTTCCATGGACTGTTATTAAATGCACTTTTCAATCTTTTTCTTTTTGTGTCAGTTTTTATGTGTAAATCCCACTGTGAAAGACACCTTTCATGTTGATGTTTTGTCAGAATGAACTATCTTTGTGAGTGCTCAAGTCTGTCTGCAAATGAAGTAAAACAAAACTGTGAACAAAGCTTTTCATTCTTTAATGAGGGTCTGCTGTCGGGAAGCACCAACCTCGCTAATGAACAGACCAGCGATGAAGAAAATGCTATTAAATCACAGCACTGAATTACACTTCAGACTGCTGTCATAATGTATCACAACACATTCAATAGCAGAGTGCTGGGATTGGTTTGGGAATCACCATAGTAAAATACTCAGATTTTCCTGAACCACTTATTTATCAGTGCACTACTGAAAATACAGCTGTATTTGTTAACAAAATGTGACATTGCACGATTCAACACGTATAGTTCGATTCCTGATGGCAGTTCTTTTTAGAATCATATGTGTAAAGAACCAGTGTGGTCCGATTCCCAAACAAATGACTATGCTAAACTGTAACAACGTGGATGTAGTACATCTGAGTTTATATAAAATATGCTTTTTTTAACGATTACGATTCAAACCAAATGTAATACCTATTAGGCAGTATGCGAAGTTGGACACAGCTTGTGAGCCGTGCCTTTTTTAGTGAATCACAAGCCTACAAAACAACCAGTGTAGTGTGATTCCCAAACGATTGACTCACATGATCTGGTTCTTTTTAGTGAATCAAACATGCACAGCATAGCCAGTAGTCCTCAGGAGTCCTCAATGAATGACTTCTCTGAGCTGGCTCTTTTTAGTGAATCATAAGTACTTTCCCCAGTCAAATAGCTCTTATGAGTTGACTCTTTTCAGTGAATCAGAAACACACAACTAACAAATCAATGATACATATCATACAGATATTAATGAAATATGTTAAGGCCAGCTTTTAGTGCTTACTCCATTGTAGTTTGATCATCTGCTTGTATTTTAGATTTCAGTTTTTTATTAGTGGTTTTCTATTGTTTTTGTGATATTTAGGGTCAGGGGTTTGTTTTAAACCTGCAGCCAGACAAAATATACTTAGAAAGAGATAAAGGGATTTATCTTCACAGATTCAGAGATGTTCACCAGAGCTCAAACCAATGGAAAGAAGAGAGAGGGCTGACCTTTGTCCTCGTGAATTCAGGTGAAAGAATGACTGCCAAAAGTGCAGGTTCTGTTGCATTGTAGAGCTCATCATCTGTGTTTTGGACTCGCTCTTCAGACAGACTGCCTTATGCATGAGAAAGATCCCTCTTTGTGCTCTGAGGAGTCCTGCTGTATGTGTCTCTGTCTCATCTGGATGGCAGTCATGCTCAGACTGCGTTTTATGCTCCTGAGGAGAAGCCTCAGGTCCTTCTATACACACACACACACACAGAGGCTTGTGGAAAATAGTGGCCTGGAATTCAAATGAACGTACAATAGAGCAGGCTGAGGCCTTTGGCCACTTCTAGTTGAATCCAATACAAGCAGTCCTTTATCTCTGCGGCATTTTAAAAAAAATCAAACCTGACATTTCATGTGGGCTCCTGGGAAATACAGGCATACAAACAAAATATGTGATTTAAAGTCAAGCAAGTAAACAACACCCAGAGCCAAGGTAATTTCTAATATCTGTGGGCATCAGCTTCCTTTTTCAAATGATTTGAGGACTTTCATTTGCATTTCTACTTTCTTGAACATGAATTTCTTAAAGGAATACTCTTCTAAAAACTGAACGTCCTGTCATTTATTTGCGCGACCTCATGCTGTGCCAAATCCATAAGCTGTTTTCTGTGGAACAGAATGAAATTTATTGTTGACAATGTGTTTAACACCCAGTCAAGCCCTCTATTTGAGATTAGCGGTATGAAAACAGTAAGCTTCGTTGTGCTGGTGGCGTACTCTTGGCTGGAGAGATAAAAGGCTCAAATGTTTTCCAGACGATTCTGTCTAGAGACAATGAAAAAAATTTTCAGTTTCAATCTTTTATCCCCTTGTGTTTGTTTTGAAGCTATATTTTTCCTAGACTATCTTCAGACCAACAGAAATGGTGAATTGATTTTAGACTACAGATGGAAATTAAATAAAGCATCTAATGTGAAGATTTGTAGGGGGAAAAAATCTGTGGTTTGAGTTTT